GCTCAAGCCGAGCGAGCTCATTAGCGGCCATGGCCAAATTGGCGCTTGGGGTCTAGTAGACATCGTGGCCGTCAACACGGATGAATTCGTCGTCGAGCTTGCGGCGGAGTGGGCATGGCCTCCCTTGCGAGTCGAGCTGTTCTTCGTTGCGAGCAGCCTCAGCTAACACAATGGTGGCCTCATTCGCTCGGCGCTGCGCACGGTTGGCTTTTCTGTTGACACGAGCTGCGCGGTCCTCATCGGTTTCTCCATCCCATGGAGGGCTATCGATGTTGACATTAAAAATCCCGCCTCCTCAGAAGGGTGGGAAAGGAGGTTGGACGGCGGCGGTTTCGGCGATAATCTACATAGAGCTCTAGGACTCAGAGTCTGGATTTTCCTCCAAGATGGTGTGGAGGGATGCTTCGGGACGTCGGCCGATTTGCAGCATATTGACAGTTGGCGAGAGCTGGTCGGCGATCGGGTCGGCGAGAGGATAGATGTCTCCCACCTGGTCGGCGAATTTGCCCCTTAGGGCATCCTGATGGACGGCGGCCGTAACCCCTGGAGTTTCCTCATTAGTCTCCGATAGATCAGAATCGGAGGGTGGTCGGCGCTGAACCAGAGTGATCAGAGCCAATTCTGCGATGGAGAGGCAGTCAGTGAGCTTCTGGCCAACCTGATCGATGGATGCGATTAGATCATCGTTGCTGATCTGCTTCCGCGGGTAGCGGGGGAGCAGGCGGTGAGTTGTTGATGAAGACGACCTTGGGGGTGGTTCTAAGATCGGATCTGCCATTGCAAGTGTTGGTGTGGTTTGCGCAGAATTGATCTACACCGGCTCGATGATCTCTCCGTCTCCGTCAGCATTGATGACCTAGGAGATTGATCCGACCATGAAGATCTGGCCAGGCTTTGGGAGGATGAAGAGCCTACAAAATGTACCATGTTGTTCGTCATGGAAACAGCACGCACACTCCTACCTGCACGCGCCAACTGTCAACAGAATATCATCGGCAGTCCTCCGAGGGGTATCCCACGAAGGTAGATTGATCGGCAGTGGTGCACGTAATCAAGAACAAGAAGGCAATAGAGACATAAGAGTTAGACAAGTTCGAACCATCTGCACGACGTAATACTCTACTCCTGTGGTCTGTTGGTTTGTATTGGCTATCGTATGATATTGCGTGTGTTTTGAGGAGGTCTCCTACCTACCTTATATAGCTGGGGGTAGGGTTACAAGTCGGTTAGATCTAGAAGATAATTGGTAAGTAATAACAGATTACAGAAATTATGGGATCGAACATATCCTAACAGATGTCGTAGCATCTTTAGGATATCGCCCTTGATATCTTGCGGTATACGCCGAGCAGTACCGTGCACCGTAGGTCTTCGTCTTGTGGGCTGGACTGCCCCAGGGAGCGCAGCCCGTGTAGTGTGTCATGAGAATCTGGGTTGGTACCCCACACTGCTACAAGATGTTTCTCTATCTTACAGCAGGTCGGGGACTAAGTGTGTACACTTTACCTTGTGGTGAATGTACTATTTTTTCTTTTTACTTGGTTTTCAGCTAAGCTGGGGACTAGCTGTGTGCTCAGCTAAGCTGGAAAATGGTTGTTTTGACTAAGTGATAGTTGAAATTCTTTGATCCTGACACCAGGTGTCTTCTTCACCTACTGTTAGGCCTGGGGACTACAATGTATATATTGCACCTTACGACGCATGTATCAATACTAACATCCTCTTTGACTAAGTCATGGATGATGATCATCTGACTTCGCGAACGAAGCCTAAGTGTGTACACTTCACCTAAGGTCGATGTCTCTAGCAAGCTCCGTCGCCGTTTTCTCCACCGATCAGCCGGTCAGACCGCTAGGTGAATGGACTTCGTCGCCGACCAGTTAGTCGGACTGTTCAGCGTTTACTTCTACTCGACGCTCATTTTGTCATCGCCCAGTTCGTTGGGCTGCTCGGTGCTCAATTCTTCGCCAACCAACTAGTCGGATTGTTCGTCGCTTCATCGTAGCCACGTTGGGGGCTCGCCGGCTAAGCTGGGGACTCCCCGGCGTTCGGATTCTTCGTGCAAGCGTCGCCAGCTAAGCTGAGGACTCAGCGTTCGGATTCTTCGTGCAACCGTCGCCGGCTAAGCTGGGGACTCCCTTGGCGATCGAATCTCGCTACGTCTCATCGGTGTGCTATCAAGTTAATCCATGCTATTCAGATCAGGGTGTTGATCTTAGGCAGCACGTTTGGGTCTTGATATGCACATGTCAGATGACGTCGGCAAGCTTTCGGACTTATTTTCTTTGAGCCTGCTACAAGATTCATTCTTCATCTTCTAGTACGCTCGGAGACTAAGTGGCTACACTTCACTTGACGGTGAATGTAGTGCTTATTTTCTGATTTACCCTTCTTATTGACTAAGTCACGGATGATAATCATCTGACCTCGCAAACGGAGTTTAAGTGGCTACACTTCATCTGAGGTGAATAATTTTTAAAATTAATCTTGAGCCCCTTATATCCTTTCGGCAAGCCTTACTTGGCTAAGTCCGAGGTCTCATAACCAGTTAAACCGGTCCGCTTCGACTTCCATCGCTCGGATCACCAGTTAAACTGGCCAGTTTCGACTTCCACTGCTCGGATCACCAGTTAAACTGGTCGGCTTCGACTTCCATCGCTGCGGATCACTTGTTAAACTGGTCGGCTTCATATCAAACTGCTCGGACTTGTTCAAGACTGCGTTGCTCAAATGATACAAGGCGTTCGGGGACTAGCTGTGGGGATATACCCCCGGTACCCACAAGACAAGACATGAGCTGCACCATCAGGTGGCCAAGCCCACAAGATCAAGGCGTGCACTGCAAGGCTATAAGAAAATGTGGTTTATTGTATAATACCAAATATGATATTTTCCTTGTAACCGTATCCCTCCAGAGTATATAAGGAGAGGCAGAGATCGCCAAGACGAGATATCAAATCTGATACATAATGAATACAAAATAACAGAGCACATGATGTATGGTATTACGTCAAGCTGACGGCCTAAACCTGTATAAATCTTATATCCCGTATCTCTGTTACCATCTGATCCACATCACGTATATCTCCACCAATTCATCATCCACAGTGGGTATACCCTTGATAGGCTGCCCTCTATATTTCTTCGACACATGGAGTTTCTAATTTGGTTAGGCACCGGCACCGGCACCAGTACCGGCACCAACACAAACACGTCGACCGCCGGCCAGCCGAGCCGCGCGCTCCAAAACCCCAAAACTGCCTTGGGAGGCCCACAGTTTAGTGTAGGTTTCCTGCCTGCGCTGTGCGTTGTCAGTCGCCGCGCCATCTCGGCCGGCTGGCCGGCCGGTTTCGTTTCCTCTTTGTGCTCAGGAACGTCGTCTCTGCCAGGAATCCCGTCCCAAACAGAGAAACCGAACACGCATGCGATTGAGACCAGCAAGATTGTCATTCATGAGTGGCCAGCCCCAGCCAAGCGCAAAGCAAGGACGAGCGTACTGTAGATCAGCAAGATAGTCGTGCTACACGGCAGCACAGGCTAGCTAGAGCCTCGTCACATGAACAGCTAGTGTTTGTGACTAAAAGCATCTTTTATCGAAAGCGAAGCTAACTTTGAGCAACCCGTTTACCGTCACGAGTGACATCTTAGTATTTCTTATGACGACTGCTCTGATGCTAGTATTGTACGGAGTATAAGGTAATAAGGACACGTTTGACCGAGCTATTAGAACAGCTTCCAAATTAAATTTAGGAGAAATTTTGTCAAGCAAAATTTTTTTAGAAGTAATTCTATTCTAGTTCCGTGGTATTTCTCCAATAATTTAATTTTTTTTGCATCCAAACAGGGCCTAAAACAAGTGTACCATGCAAGCCGATCTCTGTTTCCAAATACTTGGTACTTCGATACTTTATTATAAGAATACTCTCTCCGGTTAATTTTATCTGGCGCACGCACATATGAAGATTCAAACTTTAAAAACTTTGACTAATAATTAGGCTAATAATTTTTAACTATTATAATATAAACTTTAAATGATTAGATTTGTAAGGAATTTTACTATCAAATGATTATAAGTTTATAAGCGTAAATAGTATAATATAAAGCAAATGAATGGTTAAAGTGTAATCTAGGAGACTGTGTCATTCTAACTTACGCCAGATAAAATGGACCGGATGGAGTATCTTAGAACTATTTAAATAACCTTTCTAATGCCACTTTAGTTATTCAACTAGAAACATATCACCATGGTAATCATGCTTTGGTCAGAACTGTAACGTGTTTTAGGGGGTTTAGTGCTCCTTTTTCTCTTTTATATAATAAATAAATAAACACCTACTTTATTTAGTATATAATGACCTTTTGCTTCGGTACAAGAGGAAGGAAGCATCGTTGGAGTTGGAGGTAAAATTAAGTACTCAATCCATCTCAAATTGTAAGACGTTTGATTTTTTGACACCAACTATTTGTCTTGTTCAAAAATTTATACAAAATATTATTTCTTTCGTTGTGGTTTGGTTTATTAATAAAATTTTTTTAAGAATGACTTAAATTTGACTATATTTATATAAATATTTTGAATAAGTTGAGTGATCAAACTTAGAGAAAAAAATTAAACATCTTCCAATTTGAGATGGGGTAGGACTATATTACCAGGGTGGGTAAAGAAAGAAGAAGGATGCGCCGCAACAAGAGCAGCACACGCGAGGCGCCAGGGGAGGCGAGTGGCGCGGGCCCCACCGCATCTATCTCCTTTGGTGTCGCTGTCCAGTAGTGCGTCAGCGTCGCTTCCGATTATAAGTAGTAGCGTGGCCAGCTACCATCTCCCCGACTCCGCCTCCCACCCCCACTCCTTCTCTCACCGAGAGCCAGAGGGGCAGCCAAAGCCAAGATCTTGCCTGGCCTCCTTTTCTCCCAGCTCGTCACTGTGCCGCTCGTGCCCTCCACTCCCCCGGTCCGCCACTCCAATAATCCATCCACCACCACCCCGCTGCGCTGCGGCGATGTGCGGCGGCGCCATCCTCTCGGGTTTCATCCCGCCGTCCGGGGTGGCGGCGGCGGCCGCCAAGAAGAAACAGCAGCGGCGTGTGACGGCGGACCTGCTGTGGCCGGGGCCCGGCAAGAAGGGAGTGCCCCAGGAGGAGGAGGAGGACTTCGAGGCCGACTTCCGCGAGTTCGAGCGCGGCCTCAGCGAGGATGACGTGGACGGCGCCGGCGAAGGCTGGGAGGACGAGGTCCAGGAGCTTCCTCCGCCGGAGCCGGCGAGGTTTGCCTTCGCCGCAGCGGCTAAGGCGCCGCGCCCTGCAGTTTGTGAGCACTGAGCACCGCATTAAAGTCGCTAAATTTTTTTCTCTCGTTATATATGGCACACACACTGCTTAAGTGCTTAGACGGGCGAAAGAAAGATGACCTCTATTGCGGCGCTGTTTCTCGAATCTCCTTTGGATGATGAGGAGAAAATCGGGGTTCCATGGAGCTGCGGGTGCTGCCAAACAGGGCTTCTAGCTGCAAGACGAAATTTAAATTCTATTCTTTTGGTTAGCCTTAGCATGGAGTGGGCAAGGCTGTTCAGGCTTTCAGTGGGAACTGATGGCTGCCTTGGTACTTCGTATGCAATCCACTAGCTGCTCTGTCTGGAGTAACATATTATGCTACAAATGGAGAAATTATTTACTACTAGTTCGTAAGGTAGTCCATGTGCTTTGCTCTGTGTTATCTATATCGTTGTGCTAACTCCAGATTTAAGCAAGGCAGATTTGTTGATTATTTTTTATGATTTTACGATTAACATAAATGATCTATTGAACAATTATGAAAATAAGTACATGTCTTGTTAGGGTATGTTGAGTTTAGTTGTATTCAGATTGGGCGTCTTACTCAGACTGATGTTTAGTTAATTTCAGAATAATTTCTGGAATTTTTCCTTAACTGTCATCTCGTTCCAGATGGTTAGCTTTAGTTCTGAACTTCTTTATCTGTCAATTTTATTGTTTAAATCCAGGTTATGCTAATTTCTTTTTCCTTTTTTTTTTTGGGGGGGGTGGGTCAAGACAAGAATTTAATTGCTTCTAATTTCTAATTTACATGTTCATGATTCTGAAGTTAATTAGTTAAAAAAAAGGTATTCTAATCTGTGTTAATTGAAGATCTCGATGGATCTTCAAAGGTCACTGATTGCAGTAGATCTAGAAAATTACTATATGTTCTTCTTGTAGTGCAACAAGCTGTTTTATTGGCAGCATAAGAAAAGGACATCATTTATGCTTCAACCTCTTTGTTGTTTGCTAACTATTCTCCAATTCAGCTACCCGAACAAACTACCTACAAAGTAGAGTACTTGTTTGTTGATTACAAACAATTCATGCTAGGTGTGGATGGTGTCCATCTCCTGGTCACCTGCTTTTATCTGATGATGTAATTTCGTGAAACTGGGACATAAAACGGGAAACCATGACTAACATATAAATCAATCTATTATAATACATAGATTCATCATCTATTGAAGTGTGGGATCCTTTTTCTAGATGCTGGGATAATTCAATAACAATATTGCATACTAGATTACCATGCCTTTCAATAATGATTTGTCCTTATGCCAATATTGATTGTATTTTTACTATCTGTGGCTAACTAGCTATTGTAGTTCTTCTGTATGTGTTATTAATTATCTGCTCATACAAGTATATGTTAACTTCTTTACATGCCTATTCCATATGTTTTGTTGAGATGGACTGATAGACAGCCTTTATTATAGATGGTGTGATGACTCCAAAGGATGTTCAAGGAGATAGACCTACTGCTAACTCGGTAAAGCGCAACCGGAAGAATCAATACAGGGGAATCCGCCAGCGCCCTTGGGGCAAATGGGCAGCTGAAATCAGAGACCCTAGCAAGGGTGTCCGTGTTTGGCTTGGAACTTACAACACTGCTGAGGAGGCAGCTAGGGCATATGATGCTGAAGCTCGCAAGATCCGTGGAAAAAAAGCGAAGGTCAATTTTCCTGATGAAGTGCCAGGTGCTCAGAAGTCAACTGCAAAGCCAACTGCTGCGAATGCAACAAAGCTAGCTCTACCCCCAAAGGCCTGTGCTGATGAGGTTTTCAATAACCTGAGCAATGACAACAATGATTTGTTCGCAATGTTTGCGTTCAATGACAATAAGGTTCCTGTGAAGCTAGCTGAGGGTGCCAGTTTCCTCCCTTCAGTGAAACCTCTGGTGCCCCGTAAGAGATCTGCGACTAACATGCTCTCTGACCAGAGCAGCAACTCCTATGGCTCTTCTGACTTTGGGTGGGACGATGACACCATGACCTCAGACTACACCTCAGTCTTTGCTCCCAATAATGTTATACCAGCATCTTACATGCAAGGTGGAGTGTCAAAGAGAATGAGGAACAACTATGGTGTAGCCATGCTTCAGGGAAATGGCGCGCCCAGTCTCGCACAAGTCATGGCTGGTTTTGATCCTGAGATGAACTTTCAGCCATTGCCTTATGTTGAGAGCAGCTCAACAGATGCATCAATGGAGCAAACTGATATTCCACAGGATGGGGCAAGCAATGGGGATATCTGGAGCCTTGATGAGCTGCTCATGGCAGCTGGTGCTTAATGAGAAGCTATGGTTATTATCAGTGTGGTGTGTTGACAGCGAAAAATGTAAGGCATCCATACTGGCTATTTTGTTCATTTTGTTTTCCCTACACACATCTCTTGCAGAAGATCACTTCTTCGGTGAATGGAGCGTCTCATATTCGTTTTGTTTTCATGGCAGGTCTCCTACCTGTGGTGATGCTGGAGAGGCAGTTGTATCCGCTACGTTTTCTCGCGGTAGTTATATATGGTAGATTACATATATATGCTTTTGTCAGTTGAACTCTAGCTATGACAATGTTTATAGTATGTTGCTGCATGGTGCGTGTATGATTGGAAGCGAGTTTGAGACTGATTCAATAATTTACCTTGCCTATGCCTGCTGGACTGTAGTGTGCGTACTGCATGTTATGTATTATATATATATATATATATATATATATATATATATATATATATATATATGGTGTGCTTATATGTTGCAATTCTTTGTCTGGAAGCACTCGGTTTCGCTTTCTACGCAACATTTCTTTTCGGGAAATGGTAGGTGCCGGCCAAGTCCGACGATCTGTGGCACCAGAAATCGAGAAAGATGTGGATGACTGATTGCATATGTGCAGGCTTGGCTTGTTTGTCTCACTCAGCTGTTTGCTGGGAATAAATTAATTAAGTTTGCGTTAGATTCCGGCTAGGCTGGGGTTGTGTTGTTTAAGGCCTTAAGACTGACTTCAACAGACCAGGCACCGCGTGACCCAGACCTAAAATGGATTGTTCATAATGTTTTATCCGCACAAAACACTTCTCTGCATTTTAGGTGGGAGCAGACGCGGACGCGGGACGTAAATAAACGTCCTCTCTCTGTCCTTCTGCGTCTCCACGCTGTCGGAGCTCGTCCGCGCCAAGGGGCACTGCGCTCCTCTGTTCCTTCTGTCCGCAAGAGAGATAGAAAGCGAGGGGGAGAGAACGAAGCGGAGGAGAGAGAGAGAGAGAAGCAAGGCGGCGTGCAGACCAGGGAGCACCGGCGATGGCCCCGGCGGCCTGCGGCCGTCTCCTAAGAGAGAGAGAGGCAGCAAGGGGAGAGGGGGAAGGGAGAGCGCTCGGCGGCGCTATTGCCTCGGCGCGGATTGAAGGGAGGGAGAAGCAGGGGAGCAGGGAGAAGAAGAGGAGGGAAAAGGGAAGAGGGAAGAGGGCGGACCGGAGGGAGAAGAGCTCGTCCGCACGAAGGGGCACCGCGCCTCGCCAGATCTCGCGCCGGAGCCACCAAGCGCGTCGCGGTGGATAGCAGCATGTCAGCATACCTCATCGCACCGCTTCTCGAGGCAGCAAACTTCCTCGCGGGTGAGGCGCGCGGCGGCGCGCGCGCTCTACGCCGCTCTCGGCGTCCTCGATGCCCTCGAACAGGGCCCGGTTCTCTTCGCGGCGCAGAAGCTCGTCCACTTTCTCCCCCACTGTCGAGCTCAGCCAAGACGCCGCGGCATCGGCGCCCTCGCCGCTCCGCTTCCGCCTCTGGACTCGCTTCCGCCCTCCCCGGTTGAGGACCTCACGCGAGCACCCCCATGGAAGCGGCCGCGGCGCCGCACAACAACCTGAGCAAGGGGACCCGCGTGTACGAAAGGAGACCCGACGAGCGGGCGGAGGAGCGCGGCGAGGCGGGCGGCGTGCGGCTTCTCGTTTGCGTCGGCTGTTGGAAAAAGGGTAGTTTTACGTCCGTGACCCTTTCGCCGTGTGTTAGGGCAACTCCAGCCAACATCCTATCCCATCCCTCATCTCATTTTGAGGTCTAAAACGCAAAAAAGACTTCTCCAACCGGTCTCCTATCTGAGCCCCGACGGATGAGGATCCCTCATTCCTCTCTCCTCGTCCCCCACATCTGAGCGACTCTCATCCTGACCCTCATCCACCGAGTGGGCCAACGGTCGTCTTCCCGCGCCGTCGCAGAAATCTCCGAGCTGGTACGTCCTCGTTCCCCTCTTCTCGTTATTGTGGCATCCATGGCTACTTTCTCGGCTTCTAGATGGATGGGAGACGGGGATACGAAATATACCTCATAGATCTGGGCGGCGTGGGCGCCGCCGCTTGCCGGCCGACCGTGCTGGGCCGCCTTGGGCGGCTGCTGCTGCGCCCCTGATTCGCGCCGCCCTCCGCTGGCCAACAAGGTCGCGCCCCTGCTGCTGTGCGCTGCTTGCGGCCCTGCTTGCGCTAGCCGCTGCTGCCGTGCGCTGCTGTGCGGCCCTGCTGTGCCGCTGCTGCCGTGCGCTGTTGTGCGGCCCTGCTGTGCCCCCGCCATGCGTTGGTGGCGTGGGTTGCAGAGTGAAGACAGAGAGAGGGAGCGCTGCAAAGTGAAGACAGAGAGAGCACAACAAAAAAAATGTTCCGAAAGAGATAATCCGTCACTCGCTCTAGAGACCTCAGTACCGTGCTAACTCCAATAATTTCCTTCTTTACTACATAAAAAGCATCAGCTGCTGGATAGAAAGCAAAAGCATTTATTTATAGCTGACAGTTAGCTTTCGCAAGATTTCTTTCTTATCATGTTTGAGTGTTGTGAGCGAAAGATTTAGAGTATGGTGAGAAGTAAAGACTGGCATCATTTAATCAATTTTGGCTTGTGCTTGATTCTTTTTTTTAATAAAAAGGTTGTGGTTAATTTGTTAATATATTCAATTCCTATATCTAGGAAGAACAAATGGAGAGTTGGGTTGATTTGCTCTCTGGCAATGGAGACAACAATG